ATAACTCCTCCATAATACGTGGCCTGCCACAATATCACAGATTTCTCTTAGCCTCCAGCATGAAAGCAGAGGTATTATTTCAGGGTCATGGCAAGCGCTGATATTGAATTGACCCAAGCCACTTCACTAAAGTGAAGGACCCAGTGTTGCCTTCCCCCATCTACACTCTACATATATATAATTTGAAAGACGCCTCCCAAGTCCTTACAGGGTAACACTGGGCAGGTTGAGGGACATTCCCACATTCCTGTCTCTTTCTCAAGACCAATGAAGATGTGAAACACAGCATGAAATGTAAGGACATAATATGTCCATGCCATTGTTGGTCCAAATGTTGAAGCCTCAAGACAATGCATGACACCTAAGCAAGCGTGTGGCAACACAGACCTCTGCTCATGGTAAAGTGTTTAAGCAATTCCTTCACCATAAACAGCCGTTGCACTTTCACCTTACAATGAAGGCATCCTACAAGCTCTCCAGGCTTTGCTACACAAGACAGCAGCCTCCCAATTAGAAGTTGGGGTTCTTTAAGGGGTAAATGATTCTTGTTTAACCGACAAGGCCAAGTGTACTGTGCAGCTACACATCCATGAGAGGATAGTTACATAAACATTTCCCATTTTGATAGGTTTCCCTTTGCTTGCCTAGCCCCATACTAGATGTGATATCAGTCATTTGCATGATGTTCTGCAACAGGCAACCTGCCAGAGGAGGAAAACACTTGGCCCTTCTGCTCTGAAGAGGACACCAGCCCATGAACTGTATATTACTTTGCTTTTGTTTGGCAGCTGCCAAAGGGAGGTCATTAATAGGCACCAGGGCTGTGCACCTGTCTCCACTCTGGATGGATGTTTTGTCATTCTCTAATTGCAAAGTTGGCATCCGATATAGTTTGGTCCTTGATGAAAATGTACACAAATTGTACTAGTGCAAGACTTTCATCTGAAGGGTCATTACTTAGAAGCAAGCTCCACTCAACTCAATGTAAATACATGGGCGCAAGCTGTTTGTGTTCTTATATGGGGGCATGCTACGCAGATGTAGGCATTTTAAAAACTATGCACAATTTCCAGGTGGAATCGGAACACTTGCACTCCTGTGCTAAGAAGCAGAGTTGGGAAACCTGTGGTCCTACAGAGAATATTGAAAGTCCATTCCCAGCTGTCACAGAATACATGGCCAGTGGGGAGTTACTGTATGACGGAAATCGTTCCACAAATGTAGAGGTTCCCCCTTCCTGTTAGAAACTGGTTGAAGCACACAAAGTCCTTGCATCTAACTTACCTATCCATGCCTCACCTCCTTTTAGAAAGAGATGAACTGAAAGAAGCACCTAAAGCAAAGATAGAATGATTAAATAGCCTTTATTTGGAAGATCGAAAGAAAATACAAAATTTCTTTAAAACTGAGAGCTTAAAAAATATATTTGGCAACCAATAGGAGTCTCATACCACCAAGCAATTTATGCTTTCCCCCTGAAACAGGGTTTGTTATTCTATTGGCTAGTGGCACAAATTCTATCTGGATGAAAGAGTTGTGTATACATTCGCTTTGTCGCTGATTTATGGCTTATTTCATGTGGGACAGGTAGGTGAACTCCGCCTGTCATGGCATCACTTAATTGTCTCATGCAAAAGCAGCCTACATAAGAAAACAGCATGGCCTTTATTTTAAATGGCATCTTTGGCTTGCAGGGAGGTAGGACATATGTGACTACCACAACCATAGCCATCCTTCTTAGTATTCGGAGACATACTTGATTGCCCTGTCAAATATATAGATTGGCATGGTTATATGGCATTCAAGCCTGAGATCCTCAGGGTGAACCTTAGGATGAAACATCAAATTTTCCTATCCTTGTATATGCAGCATGGTAGGAGAAAAACAAACTTTTCTTTCTAAAAACGATCACACATACATCACCAGGCCTACCATACACAAAGAGACAAAATGGTGTGCCCTGGGCTGAATGAGGAAACAGGAGAAAGCTGGTCTAAATCTTAGACTCTAGGAAAAAAAGAGTGAACAGCATTGTGATTTTTGAGGCATGTGCCTTTACAAAGCCACTTGGATGAAGTGGTGCATGTGTGGCTTGCAGTGGGTTAGAGCAAGTTTGTAAACTAGCTTCTGGACACACCAAAGTTGGCCAGCACTGCATAAGGAGGAGGACATCCGAGATAAACAAACAAGATGAAAGACAAGGATCGGGAAAGATCTTATGAACAGGCTGCTGCTGCTGCCATCAATTAGAAGGCAATGTTATCTCAGATATATTCAAGCTTCTGTGCATCAGCTGCCTTTATGATTTACATGTTCCTGCATAGTTGTGGGTATAGAGATACACAAGTGCATCTACAGTCTAGGATGAAGTCATGGGATACATGAAGAACAGAGTAACTGCTTCTTAGGAAAGGTACATGGACGTTACTGGTTCATGAGAACCTCACTCATCACCAAGGTGCTTGGGAGAGCGCCTTTGCCTGCGTAGCTCCTCCACCTGGCGCTCCAAGCTGCGAACTTTGGCTTCCAGACGTGCTCCTGAGTGATGCGATCCACTCAGCCAGCCCAGGAGGACATACAGCGTGAGCAAGGCCAACATAAGCAACACCTGCACAGAGCGGTCAGGTACTGCAGAGACTATGAACATAAAGCAAGCCCCAAAGAGGACCACCTTGAGGCCCCACATGATGCGACTCAAGACAGCCAGTATGAGACTCAGCAGCAATGACAGCACCCAGTAGCCAATCAGAGCAGTCAGGCCCCAGAGCAGCAGTGTCTGGACCTCCTCAGGTCTCATCTTAAGGAACTGAGTCAAATGGTCCCCTGAAACACAAAAGAGAAAAACAGAACATTAGGTTGACTCAAATAATGTGATGCTATAGCATTTCATGGTGACGAGAAAGCCTCATCAGGCACTGGAGCGGAATACTCCTCTTGCACTGGGACGTTGGTTCTACTGTGGGCAGGAAGAGAATGGGGGCCCCAGTGTTTCAAAGAAAAACAGTTTGTCAAGGGCTGATACCAAAGCTCTTTGGCCCGAGGTCTCAGCCAACAAAGTGCCCGGCCCTTAGCTCAAACCGGCACACAGAGACTTGAAACCAATTGATACATTTTGCAGTAGCAAATCCACTTAGTTAAAAGGGCAAAAGGAACTTTTCTGTTAGACACAGAAATATTATTCAATTCATACCAATATTATTCAATTAAGTCACATTTTTAGCCAGAAAATTACTGCAACAAAAAAATTTGGATACTAAACTCTTTGAGATCAGCTGTGCAGCTTAAAATGCATTAGGGTTCAAAGTAGCAGCATAAACCCAACACTATGCAGCCAGAACACTCCCTGGAAAAGACTGTGATGTTGGGAAAATGTGAAGGCAAGGGGAGAAGGGGACGACAGAGGACGAGATGGATGGACAGTGTCATCGCACCTACCAACATGAATCTGATCAAACTCCTGGAGGCAGTGGAAGACAGGAGGGCCTGGTGTGCTCTGGTCCATGGGATCACGAAGAGTCGGACACAACTTAACGACTGAACAACAACAATGCAGCCAGACTCACTGTAACTTTATCTCTCTGTCTGCCTAGATGCATTCTTCCATGTGTCCCATAAACTGCCTCTGGTTTCCCAGCCTCCAGATTTGGTTTTGAAGCAGGAATAGGGGCTGCAGTGAGGATGTCCTACTTCACTTGGATTCTGCCATTTCACCAACAGAATTCCACCACTGTTTTCCAACAGCATTTACCAAACATATATTCCTATCTGCAATCTGATTTCATATCATTACCCTTCTCCTTTACATTGGGGGGACAGGACAGACTCAATTTGACCTACCTCCCCTGAAAACACATTTTTATTGTGAAGGAGTTGTAGAGGAAAAGGAGAGAGCAGAGTGAGCCGTCCCCTCAAACTGAGACAAAAGGAGAAACAGAGTCAATAGGGATACTGGAAAGCAAAGAGTTAAATGTAGAAGAGAAGGAGAGGGAATCAAAGGAAAAGAGGGAAAAGTCCACAACTGGAGGGAGATTGGGCCAGACATCCCTGCTGTGGGACCATTTGTGTGGTCCAGAGTGCTCCTATGAGGAAGTCCACCAATCGAGAAAAGGGAATCAAAGGAAAAGAGGGAAAAGTCCGCGACTGGACAGAGTTTGGGCCAGACATCCCTGTTGTGGAACCATTTGTGTGGTCCAGAATGCTCCTACGAGGAAGCCCACCGATTGAGAATGCTTTGGGCCAGCCTCACAATGAATCCTGTTAATTCTAAACCTGAATTGCTGTCCCCGCAGTATGGACAGTTACCCAATGTTAGTCAGTTTGAACTTATAGAAGCTGTCGTTGATTCGTCCAATGTTAAACCAAATACAATGTTCAAGAAGAGACTCAGTTGTCTTTTCCCGCCAAAAAGGAGGAACTGCTCCAGATCTTCAATGAACCTGATCACATTTATACACATAGTTAAATCTTCAAGTGCAAGAACTGCTGTTTTAAGGCCTGGTAATGCCTGCAGGGATTCATATTTGAATAGCATTATCCAGAACTATCAAACAATATTTTCAAAATCCCTCTAGGTCCTATGTTTCAGAAACAAAGCTCTCTTCATGTTGCTGATCACATATGATTGGCAATCTTGAAGTGTTTCAGAATTAAGAATAATGTGACTAGGTTTTACTCATCCTAGCAGGTGTACACTGATATCAACCTCAGAGGGTGTATGCCTCTAAAAGGCTGGAGAACATCTGTAGATGCGTAGAGAATTATGCACAACATAGAAAACACTGACTGTTTTCCTTCTCTTATAATGCCAGAACCAGGGATAATCTACTATGATTGGAGATCAAATAAAGGAAGTAGTATTTCTTCACACAGCACATACTCCCATTATGAATTCCTTGCAGCTAGAAATGACCATCAACATACATGATTTTGAAAAGGGAATTTGGTTCATGAAATAAAAGACTATAAATGGCTTCTGGTAATGACAGCTAAATATTACCTCCAATATCTGAGACAGAATATTTTCCAAGAAAAGTTATGGGAAACATGAATAGAAAAGCAGTGGTTTTCTCATATCTCTCTTGAGGGCTTCCCAAAAGGCATCTGGTAGGCTACTGTAGGAAATAAGATACTGGACCAGGCAGATCTTTGGTCTGATCTGGGAGGGCTCTACTTATTTTCATGAGTTTATACAGATAATACATACTAATCCCTGTGTCTTCTTTATTTGGAAGAGAGTTCTACAGGACAATAAAGATGTGCAAACTTGTCGCCTATTACTTTTGTGCTGGAAGTAAGCAAAGCAGCAGAAGGGGTTGAACATGTCCAACCCCTCCAGTTTCCCCTTCCCCCACATCCTGGCCACTTACCAGCCATTCCAAAGGAAGTAAGGAACTGCCCTACTATTCGAGCCACAACAAATAAAGCAGAAGAGATCCCAGAGGACACTATCCAGAACAGGGAAGAGATATTCTGCAAGGAAACGCACACATGGAAGTTGTCAAAAGCTGTTGTAGAGCAGATTACCAGGAGAAAAGAAGTGGAGAAAGACTACACATACAACATGAGATTTACTGCAAACTGTAGATAAGGAACAGATGCTTTATGGATCAGGAAATAGCCATTAAGAAATGATAAATGCTAATGTTTCTGTTGGTTTTAGTACAAGTACCTAAATGTAAATTTGCTTGATTTATTACTGATAGTACTTCAGCAGTTCATTTTATCTAGTTAGTTATAACTAACACACACACATTAGAAACATGAAACACTGCTTCAAAATGAGTTTTTAAAAACCGATTGACTTGGTAAATCTATTCATCTTTTACCGAATACTTTCATGCAAAGATGGGATTAACACAAATTGATTAAATTACCCCTTTTTGATTATGGTTTGTGTTTCACAATGTATCGTTTTTTGCAGACTATCTGCTAGGATAGTAACAGGACCTAGTCAGACATGCAACCAATGGGGAGGGGGGAAACTACAGTGTAAGACAGACACCAGAGGTATGTCTCCCTTTTTTTTCTTCTGAGGAAGCACAAGCTGGTTTAGAGTTAGTCAGCAGATTAAGAACAAGCAGATGGTGCAGCTCTTGGGAGACACATTTAAACTGAGAACAAAGGGATGCTTCCTCATGTTAGGAGTCACTACCAGAAAACAGCACACCTGTGCAAAGGCTAAGCCTTTACCTGAAGGGCTAGCTTTCCACAGTTAAGTGTGGAGGTTTTCCCTGTACAACAGAAGAAAAACATTCCATCATATCTTCTCTGTATGCACAGTAAAGTGGTCTAGTTTCCACAAGCTCCCCCAGAAAACTGCAATTCAGTTCACACGTGCTACCTTCCCACAGATACATGGCAACTACTTTATAAGGAACCATTTTTACCTCACTCAACATTTTGAAGTTGTGTTTTCCAATCAAACCCTCCACAGTCGTCCTTACAGTACGAGTTGTTTGGGACAGAAAGTCAGATTCCACATGTTTCTCTCGCCAAGACTCACTCCGGTGGTGTTGGGCATTGATTATATCCACGTGTGCAAGAGACAGCAACATGGCAATGGCAAAAAGGGATTGCATCAGGGGCTTGCAGATGGTCCGTACTATGCAGACCCTCCCAGACATCCTTCTAGTCCTTATCTTCACACAAGTTTATCTGCAAAGGTAACAAAAAATATGACAACCCCCAGAGCTAGTTTATCAGGTTTTTGCAGTCAGTTTCAACTGCAAATGATAAACATGAAAACATCTACCAGCTCAAGGAAGTTATGTGGAAATATGAAGTCACAGAGAAATGCATACTGACAGGAATGATGTACCCTGGATTTTAGCTGCAAGACTTATGTTTAAAAAATTAGGCTATCTTCAAGACCTGATGACCTCCCAATGTGGATTACACTATAACTTTCCTTACTTTAATAAAATAAATACATAGCAATCAACAAATACCAGCCAGAAAAACAAAAGTAGTGCTAAAAGTCAAAACACGATTAAATTAAGAATTAAAATACAGTAAGGAACACTCCCATATACACTTTTTTTGTGTGGGCCCATTTACTGTACACACGCTGGAAAATGTATATCCTCGCAGTAACACGTAGCAGATGGGCTTGGCGGGAGAGGGACACCTCCGCCAGCCTGAAAGCAACTGAATTATAAAAAAAGGGAACTTGCTGGTTCCTACAAAACAAAAACACCTTACACCCCTCCACCCCCGAATTCCATGCTGAAGAGGGTCAAGAGGGTCCTACCGAGATTTCGCCTGCGGGAACCACACACAAACCTAAAACGAATAAGCTGCAGGCGTCCCGTAACGTCAAGCTGAGCGAGCAAGGACGCCTACCTTCCAGCTCGGCTCCAAACAAAACTTAAGAAAGGCAAAGAAAGAAATCCTTTATTCTCTCTCTCTTCCCCGCCCCTTCCCTCCTGATGGTAAATTTCAAATCCTGCTCCAAGCCCAGCTGCATTCTGGGAAATGGAGTCCAAAGCGCCGCTCAACCCCCCCCCCAGGCAGCAGCACGCTGGGCATTGTAGTCCTGCTACGCCATTTCTTCCAACAAAACCTTGCTTTCTTTAAATTGGAAATGACGTTTTCACACCTAAGAGTTGCACGTTTAAGATCAAGAGTTAGAAAATTTTGATGTTTATGTTTGCTGCTGAGTCCTTTCCCTCCTGTCACAATTTTGCATATTTTTAAAAAGTCACCTGCCAAGTTCTTTCCCAAAGAAATTCAAACGAAGAGGAACCTGCTTTAGCATCTGAGGATTGGATTTTGATTTGCTGCCCATATAAAGGTACCAGGATTTTAGTGTAGAAAGTGATTATCTCAACAGTAGTAGTTGTGAGTTGTCAAGATCATCCTGTGACTGCTAAACAGATTAATATATGTTAGTAAGTAATTCAATAAATTACAGTATGTGCCATCAAATCAATTCTGATTTATGGTGATTTCTCAGCGAGTACTCAGAAGCAGCTTACCTGTCCCTCTAGCATATTATAGCTTGCCCAAGGCCACATGGTGTTAGCTCTTCTCCTACAGAGCACAGTGGGGAATCCCAAACCCTGGGTGCTTCAAACTCATTGAGCTATCCAGCCATCATGGAGATGAGTAGCCTTTGTCCACCCCAAAAAGGAAGGGAGCTTAACTTATCCATAGGGCCACAGGGAACAGGAATGCAAAACAGTGGTCATAAAACAAGTGTCAGGTGGGAATGCAAACAAACCTGGATAGATAAACCAGATAAGATGAGTAGCCTTTGTCCACCCCAAAAAGGAAGGGAGCTTAACTTATCCATAGGGCCACAGGGAACAGGAGTGCAAAACAGTGGTCATAAAACAAGTATCAGGTGGTAATGCAAACAAACCTGGATAAATCAGATAACTATGCATTGTAATATGAAGCCACAGAAATAATTGATAAACGTCCAGTGACTATCAAGAGTAAGAGGACATGATGTGCTGACAGGCTGATTCAGACTTAAAGTGATCCTTTCAATGTTTTCTAGATTAATTAATTCATTCAGTTATACTGCACCCATCTAGTGCCTTGGCAGTACGTACTCTGGGCGGCTAACAATATTTGAAAACAAACCCTAGCTACCTCTTTCCACTTACAAAGCATAAATGGTGAGATCCAAAAGAACATTAAATCCTGAATATCTAAAGAAGAAAAAGAAATAAAGTACAGTACTCATAAGTTGTTTAGTACGTACTCTGGGCGGCTAACAATATTTGAAAACAAACCCTAGCTACCTCTTTCCACTTACAAAGCATAAATGGTGAGATCCAAAAGAACATTAAATCCTGAATATCTAAAGAAGAAAAAGAAATAAAGTACTCATAAGTTGTTTTCCGGTCACTTTTTATGGTAGTGCTCTGGCACTGTGCAGTTTCCCAAAAACCTAGCGTTAATCATATTCCAATTCTCTAAATCCAGGCAATCTAATCTGAATATTGCATAAAACGACTTTTCCCATATTATGCAAATTAAGCACATTTGTTGTTGTACTCTTTTTATATAAGCATGTTTTACCCTTGGTGTCATAAGGTAAAAAGGTAAAGGTTTCCCTTGACAATTTTTGTCCAGTCGTGTTTGACTCTAGGGGGCGGTGCTCATCACCATTTCCAAGCCATAGAGCCAGCGTTTTGTCCGAAGACAATCTTCCGTGGTCACATGGCCAGTGCGACTTAGACACGGAACGCTGTTACCTTCCCACTGAGGTGGTCCCTATTTATCTACTCGCATTTGCATGCTTTTGAACCGCTAGGTTGGCGGGAGCTGGGACAAGCAACGGGCGGTCACTCCGCCACGTGGATCCAGTCTGATAGCTGAAGATCTACAGACCTTACAGCACAGAAGCTTCTGTGGTTTAACCCGCAGTACTTAGTAGAGATGCAAAGCTGAAGATCTACAGACCTTACAGCACAGAGTTTCTGCGGTTTAACCCGCAGTGCTTAGTAGAGATGCAGTATAATAGAATGGTTAGGGTTGGAACAGGGAGAACCAACCTCTCAACCAAACCTACTTCACAGGGTTGTTTGGGGCATAAAATGAGATGTGAATCTCATAGCAGCTATGTATCTTGCTGATACATAAAAAGACTCACACTTTTTCACACACATATATGAGTTCCAGTGATATTCTTATGTGGTGGCTCTTGTTTTTGCTATCAGTTTTTATTGATGGCAACACCCACTAACAGATCCTCAATAATATCATAGGAATCTCCCATGAGTGGCACAGAATCATCTTATCTGAAGGGGAAAAGGCAAGGATCAGTGAAAGCAAGTTGTAGAAATCAGGAGCACCAGGTGTCGTTTCCTTCGGAGATACAGATCAAATATTTTATTATATTAGAAAACATCCTAGCTTATCTTTCTAGCCCATAGTTGATTTTACTTACATATACTGTACATACACTGTATAACATACACATGTATATACGTGCAATTTGTTGTTGTTTAGTCATTAAGTCATGTCTGACTCTTCGTGGCCGCATGGACCAGAGCACACCAGGCCCTCCTGTCTTCCACTACCTCCCGGAGTTGGGTCAATTTCATGGAATTTTCTTGGCAAAGAAATTGGAGTGGCTTGCCAGTTCCTGCTCCATGTGGATCATGTTTAGTCCGAACTCTCCACTACAACCTGTCCGTCTTGGGTGTCCCTGCATGGCATAGCCCATAGCTTCTCTGAATTACTCAAGCCCCTTTGCCATGACAAGGCAGCAATCCGTGAAGAGGATACGTGCACATACACCCCCTCAATCCAATATTGTACCTCCTTCCTACCCTTCTCAATTTTTCCACAAAGGTGCACTGAATGTATCTACACAGACAGTCAAATCAACTGTGCTTCCCTCTGCAATACATCATACCCTCCTCTGCTATTACCCCAGCCCTCTTTCCTCAGAAGCCCCCCATTTTTGCTTAGTTTACAAAGTGACATAAGGCTGAAATGTCCACTTCTGAATTCTCACTCCACCCCTTATCTGATGTAGCATTAAACCAGTAACATTAAAAAAAACCCTGAGAGGTGGCAACACTTGGGGTAGCAGCTAAAGGAAATGATGGATCACTATACCCTGCCCCCACTGAATATGTTATCTTTCTGTGATGATCAAGAAGGAGACACTCTGCCACAGCCCCAAAGGACTGATAGAATCAGAAAGCAAGACAAAACAATGTGAGCAAAAATACAAAATATCCCAAGCTCTGTCAGCCAAACAACACATACTGAATACTACAATCCTGCTTTAAGCTCTTGAGCTCTCCCCACCATTCCCCAAACTTCTCAAAGCCAAGGGCAACAGTTGGGAGAGTTCCAAAGGAATGCCAGCCACCATTACGTATTTGGCAGGATTGTAATCCTGTACAGCAGCATTCAGGATCATCAGCAAAAATGCAGTTGCCATAATGCTGCTATGTATGGTTGTCTATATGGCTATGGAGTTCTTTATACCAAATACACCACTGAAAACTCTTGGTGCCCTTATTTGGGGCACCATACATACATCTGAAACCTTGTTCTTGTATTTAAAGTATGCCCCTCTGAAACATGAATGGCAGGAGAAAGTCTAGGGGTATGAGAAACTTTTTCTTCTGTTGTAAGTTTTCAGTCAATGCTTCAGAATAGCCTTCCCCAAGAAGGTGCCTCTAGATCTGCTGGACTACAATTATTATCACAGACACCCTCCCAAGCGCTGATCATGCTGGCTGGAAATGAGGGAATCTGTAGGAAAAGCTGGTTAAGGAAGATCTTTCTCCACTGTTACTTAGCAGTCTGGCTCGTTGGTTCAGTCTGTGTCCTGGACTCCAGTGAAAAAAGAAACAATCCAAATCTCCTAAAGGCTAGTAAAACAAGCTGGAGAGCATCACAGCATAATAAAAATACAGTACCTAATCATAAACAGTGCAGTCTGTGATTTAGCAAAACCACTATACGTACTTATTCTGTGTTTGTAACAAGTCTATATGTGACACTCATACCTACATTGTAACCATGGATATTTGCCTTTCTAAATCCTACATTTATTTGTATGTTAATGTACAAGGACAGATATAATCCACTGTCATTATACATGCTACGTATACCACTGTATCGTTGGTCCTCTTCCTCCATAAATTCTTTAAAGGTAAAGGTTCCCCTTGATAATTTTTGTCCAGTCGTGTTTGACTCTAGAGGACGGTGCTCATCCCCATTTCCAAGCCATAGAGCCAGCGTTTGTCTGAAGACAATCTTCCATGGCCACATGGCCAGTGCGACTTAGACATGGAACGCTGTTACCTTCCCATCGAGGTGGTCCCTATTTATCTACTCTCATTTGCATGCTTTCAAACCGCTAGGTTGGCAGGAGCTGGGACAAGCGATGGGCACTCACTCCGTTGCGTGGATTCGATCTTACAGCTGAAGATCTACAGACCTTACCATACAGAGGCTTCTGTGGTTTAACCCGCAGTGCCACCACGTCCCTCTTTACTCTTTACATAAATTCTCTTTACTCTTGGCCAATTCTCCCAATCTGGCCTACTGTATGTACCACAACCTGGTCTAATACAGGGACGGGAAATATTCTTGGACTGCAGCTCTCATCCAAATCCAGGCTTACTCAGTGCAACGCCACAACTTTTGAGTCCAGATTGTATGTGGCACAGAAAATCATTGCAGCAGTTCCTAACAAGGGCAGAACACTAATTTTAAGGAGCAGCACAAACAGGGTGAGATTATTATAATTCACATTATAATTTTTACATTGCAGATCAGATGGGGATCTTGTGGCTAACTAGTTTACAGCATGTAGTTTTATAATGTTGCTATTGCAAGTGGTCAGACCAAAACCTCCCCTTAAAAAATCCTTCAGAGTACGATTTCGCTAAACTGCCCTTTTAGGCTCCATTTTCAGTCCACATCTCGCGTTCAGTTCCTCGAATAGTGTTGAAATCCCACTGTTTTACAAGCATAAAACTAATATACTTATGTTTATATAAAATTTCAGAAAAAGAAAAATACATCCTCCCAGAAGTAACACCCCCACTGTGAATTTCGTTGTATGGTTATACTGTGTATATACTTACAATGACAATAAATTATTATTATTAAAAAAGGGGGGGCTTCCCTGTGACGTTCCACGTCGAGACACGCTACTGAGGGTATGTGGGCAAAGTGTACATTGGTTTTTTTGAACTACGACTCCCAGAAATCCCTTAGCAGCCAGAGGAATTGTGGGAGCCGTAGTCCAAAAGCAAATCGGTCCACGTCCACCACCAAATCTAACGTGTTGTATCGTCATTTGCGCTTCGGTGACATGGCGAGAATGACTCCAGGAGGAAACCAAAGGCTGACTTCGAGACGTTTACGTCGGTCTTAAAACCCACAGGATCCAACTGTATGCCCGCGAATACAATAGCTTCCCCCCCCCCCGCGCGCGGCCTCATCCTCCGGATGTGGAAGTTGCGAGTCTTCCGTAAACCGTTAAGTTTCTGAGGCCACGGCAGGAGGAGGGGGGGGAAGGGAGATTGTGCGCGACTTCCGTTTCCGGTCGGTGCTGAAATCTCCCGCGCGCGCGGTGCGGCGTGGCGTCGGGTAGAGTGTCAAGGCACTGGACCGGGTTCCCGGAAGCAGAATCTTCCACCTTGGTTTAGTGGCCCGGAAGTACTCGGGGGCCCTATACCGAGGAGGCGTTCGCCATGTCCCTCATCTGCTCCAGTGAGTGGTCTCGTTTTTGTGCCCCTTTGGTCTCGCCCTTTACGCCTTTCTTCCTGTCCCCGCATAGCAGAACCCTTATTTGTAGTTTGTAGGAGGAAGAAGGATCGGGATGGGAGGCTCTCTATAAGTAACCCTAGCCTGTAACAGTTCTGAAGCGCCTTCACGTGTTCCTGGTTTCTCATGCCGTATTCAGTTTTAGTCTTTACATCCGTTTCGTAAGGCAAACCAGGAGTGTTTTTCCCCCAGGTAGCGGATGTGCGTTTTTTGGGCAGACTTCTGGGCTTGTGGGAGAAGCGAAAGATTTGAATGGTAGAGTTGCAGGTCCCTGCCTCAGTCGTTATCCTGCACCAGCTCTCGTGGCCCCTTGCCTCTTTTTCATCATCTTAAAACTGCAGAGCTAGAAGGAATCCTATGGATGATCGAGTCCAGCCCCTATCAAGGAGGCACAGTGGGGAATCGAACTCTGGCTCCGCAGCTAGATGCCTAAACCATTGAGCTATCCAGCAGTTCCTGGTTATCTCTGTCTTTGTGTAGAGGGAAAGGGCAGTGACACTTTTCAGGAGTCCCAGCGTACTTCAAGTGACTTAATTTTGGCTGATGTTACAGAACTGCATCCTTTAGGTTGCAGTTCTACACACACACTCAGAAATGCACCCCATCCAGCTCAGAAGCTTGTTACATAGAAGAGGGTAAAATTTGTTTTCTCCTACCTCTGAGACTAGTACTGAGCCCAATGGGCTTAAATTACAGAAGAGGAGGTTTCACCTGAACACTAAGGGCAATTTCTTGATGATGAAAACAGCAAAGAGTGTTAATCTACTTTAAAGATTAACATGGTTATTTCACAAAAAAAGTACAATCCATTTCATCAAGTGCCACTTCACTTTAATGATAGTAGTAGTTTGCCAATGGAATCAGTTACATAGATTTCCAGTAGTATAAAACTCTAGCTATACAGTATTAGTTGTAGCAAAAACAACAACCTCTGGCACCTTCATCTATGGGAGTTTGGTTTCACACATGCTTTTATATACTGCACCAATACCTGATGAAGTGGGTTGCATTTCATGAAAGACTGGCAGATAAAATTTGCTATCATTTAAGGTGTTGTAAAACTTTCAGCAATCTAGATTACTGGTACACTTCCCATTGCAGTAAGTATTTAGGCAGTGGCAGATGGCGATCTTCAGGCAGAGGCAGAGAGCGATGGTCTGGTTCACATGGAACAAGTAGTTAAGTTGTAAGGCTATTGTAATCCTGTAAACTCAGAATGCTTTTGACGGCAACTTAATATTCTGTGAAGAATATCCTATAGCAGAAGAGGTTATTCTAGTATTTATACATGCACTCACTTATACACTCAGCACATGCATGTGGACAGATCTTGGATAGCTAGCGAAACAGGATAGTTGGATTTTGACTTCCAGCTCTCAAATATATCTTTGTTGATCTTAATTGTCATCTTGAAGGGCCTAATCTATTACACTGATGCTTGAATGGGTTCTTCAGTTTGAGTTTAATGGTTCTCTTTTCCTTCACTTCTGGCAACCAAAGCAGTGAGTCAATCTGATCTGTAGGTTCAGAAGTGTGACTGGGCTCTGTGGTTCTCTTACTCAAGCTTCTGCCTGTCCTGTACTTTAAAAATGCATAACAAATTTTTGACCGGTGTTTTGACTATGGATGTTGAACAGTGTCACTTGGCAATAGGTTTGGTTGCTAAAGTACCCATTCTGACAACTGTATTTTGTTTTAGTTCTTGTGTTTGCAAACTTGAACAGATAAATTACAGTATTGTGCAAATCATGAAATATATGTTTAAGTAGTAGTGTGGTTGCACGTAATATTTTACAGCACGATAGAAAGTTTTGAACATCTTTGCAGCTACCCTAAAATATGCCACATGAAACACCTGTTTGTAAGGATGTAGCTTAAAACAGCTTGAGAAATACATTTTTGCAGTACTTTTGAAATACTCTTAATGGCACATTATTTTTTCAGTGATTTCTAGGTTTGTGTTTGATTTTAGATTTTGTCTGTAATTAGACTGTTACTGTCTGCTCAACAAAGTTCTACAATTTCCCACCTGTATTTTGTCTCTTAAAGCTTCCTATGTTGAACATAAGCCTTATGGTTTCTTAGAACTTGAAAATACGGAGTCAAAAGTATTTTACCTGCTTGTGATTAATTACCTTTTACAGAACAAGGGTGAATGAAGCTACATTTGAAAATAATGTACCAAATCAGATTGAAATTAATTTATTGGTTTAATGATTAATGCTCTCTAGCTACTTTAAACGTTACTTTTAAAGGGCATTTGAAACAATATATTCGCGAAGGCTTTCACGGCCAGGATCTAATGGTTGTTGTGGGTTTTTCGGGCTCTTTGGCCGTGTTCTGAAGGTTGCTCTTCCTGACGTTTCACCAGTCTCTGTGGCTGGCATCTTCTGATGCCGGCCACAGAGACTAGCGAAACGTCAGGAAGAGCAACCTTCAGAACACGGCCAAAGAGCCCGAAAAACCCACAAGACATTTGAAACCCTTTTAACAAGCATTTATTCTATCACTTCTATGTTTTTAGAAAAGGTTAACAGAACATAAGACAAAAGTTGCTACCAGGGTACACTTAAGTTACATAATTACTTAAAACAATTAAATTTAATTCTTTGATTCTCTCCATCCCAAGTACATTTTTGCTTGCCATAGTCATAATACATATTTTACACAACTTGGCAGTACAATTTTATTTTTAGAGAGGCCTTCCTGTTCATTTTTTTAAAATATTGCATTTGAAAAAAATTCAGATTGTTTTTGCAGTTACATCAGAAAATGAACGATCATCTAAGTTATCAAACTCATTCAAGCAGATTTTTTTAAGGCACAGGAAGGTGAGCAATCTACAATTCAAAGGTGGAACCATAAATATTTGTAGGATTCATTCTTTACTCTGTTAGGACAACCATCAGTACTGGAAAGACTTTGACAATATTTTATAAAGAATAGTTTAAATTATCTTTATAGAACCCCATGGAACCTCATAAAATTAACACCCTTGCATGCGGATACATTTTCTCTACAGAATTAGAATTTGTAATCCTTACTCCAGAATGAGAATTTTGAACAATAAAATATTTTAAAGTGAAACTGTTGTCACATAGGGCCTTTTAGAATCAAAAAGTATTCTAACTGTAAAAAAAGTCTCATTTAATTTGTTAAAAATTGCTTAATATTTTTACTTATTCTGAGCACACACAAAAATTATAATGATTTGTTTTTCAACACTTGTAGGTTAAAAAAAAACCACCCACTTTCAGACATTAAGTAAAAGGATTTTTTAAATTGTCCATGTTCTTTGGCTTTAAAAAAAAAGCTATTTGTCCTTGTGGAGCTAGAATCTAACAGGTGTTTGTGTCAGATTTGCATAACTTGACCTCAGCTGATGGATGAGGTGTCAGGATATGTCAGTTGTATGTCTGAGCACAAACCCTATTTAACAACAGAGGTAGCCCTCAATTGACAATTAGCTGTGGCACAAAACTTTTGTGAACACCAGTGGGATTCTGGCCCACCTATTTCTAAATCGATTAGGTTCTTTGCAACCTGCCTGCCTGTTTAGTGATTATCTCTGCCTACTACAGCATGAATGAATTAATCTCTTAGAAATCTATGGGTTCTGTAGAACTGGCAAGTATAATAGAGCAGCGTACATGTCATGTTAGCATTTCTTTGCTCTGGCTGGGCAGATCTAAAAAGCAGCCTTGCTTGCTTCATCACATGTAAGCTGTTGTCTTGTAATTACACCCCAATCTGTTTTGAATGCACCTGTGATGGTGTAAATGCTCAATTATGTGGGTGTGCTTCAAATTCTGCATCTTGAGGCCTCAAGAACGGCCTGTTGGTGTGATTAGTATGCACGGCGTGTGTCTTTTAAGTCTGCAGGCTTCAAAAATCATCCTGCATCAGAGACACTTACTCATTCTCCTTGGGGACTATTACAGTTGAAGCAAACTGTTATTATCTAATTGCAGTGCTGGAATGTACAGGTGTTGTGTGCAACATATTAAAGAGCTCTACAGTACTTGATAGTGAAGGTGGCAGAGAGATCCCCTTGCCTTCCTTCTCAATGTTTCTGTATATTGGCCTTTTTAACTCCAGAGTCAAGGATCCTAAAGCATGACTTGGGTGGAGAGTGGCACCTCTGGAGGAGCAGGATTGTTACTGTCCTAAAGCATGACTTGGGTGGAGAGTGGCAGGATTGTTACTGCTGGCTAAAAACCACAGTATCTAACAAAGGAAGGGTTAATATTCTCTCATGGTTTACAGTAAGGAGTAACCTCACTGTAACCTGCATTTGCCATTCTTATATGAGCAAGTTATTAAACATACAGGGAAATACATCTCTACTGTGTTGCTGCATTAGCTATTCATATTACTGTACTTCTTTTCCAAATTTCCATGGCCCTTTTCTGGATTCAGAAGTTTCAATGAGCCAGTATTTTAAATTTCTGTTTTCCAGAAGTCATTTCTGCACTGATTTGCAGAAGTTTCAATGAGCCAGTATTTTAAATGTCGTCTGTTTTCCAGAAGTCATTTGTGCACTGATTTCTCAGGTGGAGAATCTCCTTCTGCAGCAAAACATTCTGTTTCATGTTCTGAGTCAGGTATATAGTTTGTTCAGGTGGAGCACAGGCTGAGAAGACTGATAATTCTCCTATACGAAGTGTCAAGTGCTCTCTGGAATACATCTAGCACTCCCTGGTAACTATACATTGCAGGGAAAGATATATATGCTGTGGTTCAGTGAAGTTTGTCTACCCTTACTCATCTTTTCATTGAGGAGTCTCTGATTACTTTTCAAGGAACCCAAGTGTTCCTTGAAACACAGTCTGTATCTCACTGAACAGCTTTCTCCAAACCCACATTTCCTTCAGCATAATAAAGATAGGATTCATCTATATTGAGTTTTTACTCAGGTATAGGAATGCTTAGAGGTGTGGTGACATTTCCCTGCCCCTGCTCCATATCATTGCCTACCACTTGAAGCAGGAGAATATGCAATGTAGGGTTGTCATGAGTGTGGAGCAAGTAAGTGTGTGACATCTAAGGCAGCCCTTTGGATCCTGATTTCTAATAGCTGGTGGGCTTTCCAGTGCCTCTGTTATCATGACAGAAACCTATCAGTTGCTGAGGCTAAAACCCAGCCATTGGAGGTTGGTATTCAGTTTCATGCAGAAGGTTGGATCCAGATAAATTCCATGGACCTTGGGTCTGTTGCAGTTAATGGAACTGTGTTTTTACTTACCTAGGTGCCATTGATTTCAATTAGTTTCCACTGACATTCAGTGACACTGCATTCATCTCAATCAGGATCCAGCACATGGCCCCTAAGGGGGGGAATTGCCCCCTCCTTTCTAATGTTTCAAATTAGGTTGTGGACTTCAGTACTTTTTTTTTTAACTGAGGGAGGTCTACATAGCTCCCAGAGGGTGCTGGAAGATAGAAATTGGCCCCCAAACATGGCAGAATTTCTCATCCGAAGCTAAATCCAACCTTGTCACTCATAGTATGTTATATACAATGCATCCTTTTCTGGTAGGTGCCCAGAGATCCTCAAGGAACTTTTAAAAATTGATATTTTATTCAGTCTGTTTGAAAGCTTATTCATAATGGGTTGCTGAAAGTGTGAGTGTTCTTTCCTAAGCACCTAGATCAGAACAGATTCCATTCCACTGTGATGGAAAGATGGTATAGTTGAGTACATTGCATTATGGCTCATGTCAGCTTAAACAGGAATGTGTGAGAACCCACTTGTTACTATGATGGAAGACAGCTCTGTCAGGGAGGATTCTGTTCTTCCCAGAGTGCTTAAGAAAATAATACTACAGTTGGGTGAATAAATCTGGTTTTGGTTTTACTCTGCAGAGGAGGACTGTAAGAGATGCCTGACAGTTGTTTTTATTTTGAATTCTAGTGGGTTGGGATACTTGGTGTTTTCCCCCCCTTGTACTTGTTTCTATATTTTCACTAGCTCCCCCCCCCAAACTGGGGTCATAGACATGGGTCTTTAAATTTCTTCTCAGTCCTTACCTGTAATTATTTTTTGCAGTTTCAAATGAGGTACCTGAGCATCCTTGTGTGTCTCCTGTCTCAAATCATGTCTATGAGCGAAGACTGATTGAAAAGTATATTGCAGAGAATGGAACGGATCCAGTGAACAACCAGCCATTGTCTGAAGAACAACTCATAGATATCAAAGGTGAGGAGTAGGGTGGAAAGTGCCCCTCTTTACTGCAGCAATCGCAAGATTTCCTGAGACTTGCAAAATCTCATGGGAGGGCAGATTCTGACAGAGCCTCTGCCAAAAAAATTGGAAATTTTTGATTTCCAAAAAAATTGCTACAGCTTTTTGTGATGTAGATTTCAGCCATTGATTGGTAGGTAGCCTTGTGAGACAGTAAGGATGATACTTGGGAAACAGACATCTTCTAAGAATTAATGTTTTCCTCTACCTGTCATTTACAGTTGCCCACCCTATTCGGCCAAAGCCACCATCGGCTACTAGTATTCCAGCCATTTTGAAGGCACTTCAGGATGAATGGGTAGGTATCTCTCCCCACCCCCACTTGAATGTTACAGAATTTCCTCCTAAGATAACTAGTTCACTAAGATAACACACCTGAAATTATTCTCTACATTTTAAAGCATTCCTCCCTGGTTCATATAATCTTTCAGGGTGTCTGGATTGGATGTCATGTGAAGCAGTCTGCTTCTGGTTTGGTTATCTGCGTATGTGAGCGGGAGGACTGAAGTTAATGTCTTGTGCAAACTGGCATGCTGCTTTACCAAGACAGCATAAGTCAGGAATCCTGATTTATTGTTAACATGGGAACGTGGCCACTTTGCAGACATCCACTGCTATGCCGATCTGTCTCCTTTAGGATGCTGTTATGCTGCATAGTTTCACACTGCGGCAGCAGCTGCAGACGACACGCCAGGAGCTGTCTCATGCCCTGTACCAACATGATGCTGCCTGTCGTGTCATCGCCCGTCTCACCAAAGAGGTCACTGCAGCGAGAGAAGGTAAAAGCCCAGCATCTTACATGCGCTGTGGGTTGTGTCCAGAGAAGGAGTCTATTGTGCCAATTGTCTTTTTGCCCTGTCAAATTGCACTGTATCTTTTCTTACAGCTTTGGCAACTCTGAAACCCCAGGCTGGCCTCATTGTTCCCCAGGCAGTACCATCCTCCCAGCCCAATGCTGTGGTATGTAACACATGTGCAGGAACTGACCATGCTTTTCATTCATTCTTTTCCTTCTCTGAGCTAATACACTCCTCCTTTCTATATCTCAGGGTGCTGGTGAACCAATGGACCTAGGAGAACTGGCAGGAATGACCCCAGAGATTATCCAGAAGGTACAAAACAACCTCACTTCACAATTTGTCACTTTCTCCTTATTCTGTAGCAGCAGCGGGCAGCATGTGGGCCTGGGGCTACATGCGCCTCCCCTGGGCTGTTTTTACAGCCCTTGACTCATTGGACTCCCTGCACTTACCTCAGAAACAGTTTTCGTCCACAGAAATGGTGAATTGCTACTCTTGGAAGCCTGCAGGGACATGGGTTCACCTTTCAAATTGGCTACAGTCCCCTAAGAACAAATAAATCCATTTTTTCAGAACTGGATTTGACTGTTGGCCGTGTTTGGGTTCATGATTTGATACCTTTTAATCGCATTTTTGGCAATCTTTTTTGGCCCCAAGAAGATCCCAGGTGAAGAAAAATTGCCCCTAGATCTCCTAAAGTCGCCCAGCCTTGCGCTATAAAAATGCAGTTATGGTTTACCTATTCAGTTTTTAAAGTGAGCTGTCCTTATAGAAACACATGTGCCGTTTCTACACCACTGTGCATTCCTTTGGCATTGCAGCTGTGATCCTGTCCACTGCCAGCCTGTGTGCTTACATGTCCATTTTGAGTCTGACTTCTAATGCTGTCCTTCTGTCTTGCAGCTTCAAGACAAAGCCACTGTGCTGACCACGGAGCGCAAAAAGGTGAGTACCACTTTTTCAGAGCTTATGTTGCGTGTGCAAACCAATAGCTCCCTATGTTGTAGGCTGATAGGAGGTTCCTATTCTACTTTGACCAATTCTGTCTTGTCTTTTTGATAGAGAGGGAAGACTGTGCCAGAGGAGCTGGTGAAACCAGAGGAGCTAAGCAGATACCGGCAGGTGGCTTCACATGTGGTGAGTATATCGTGCTCACAGTTGAGAAGGCTGTGTCTTGAGGAAGTCAGATGTTTCCTAAATGGTTCTGTGAATGTGGTTGAGTTGCATTTCTGTAGTTTAATAGGCCCATCTGGACAACGCTTGTCATAGGTTAACCATGACTTTACACTTCCACCATGCTTTGCAGTAATTTGCAGGGCTGGGGAAACTGTGCGGCTTGCAGATTGTGTTAACTTCAGAAATACGGGTTTCTTACTATGACGAGGTTAACCATGACTTTACACTTCCACCATAATTTACAGGGCTGGGGAAACTGTGCGGCTTGCAGTTTGTGTTCAGAAATACGGGTTTCTTACTATGACTTTGTGACTAGACATGGGGACGAATTTAAAAAAAGGATCGCAATATTTGTGAGGAATCGCTGATATGTCCCTTCATATTCACCAGTTCCAGGGACCCCAACAAATACGAAGAGACAAATATTTCCCCCATTTTTGTTCATCCCCCATAGGAAGAGAGGGAAGGCTAGTATTCCCTGTCTTCCTGTGGCTATCCCATTCTGCCTACAGGCCAGCCGATAAGCAGCCACCCACCTCCACAGCCTATCCCCTGCCCACTTCCTCTCCCTACCTTAGCTACTGCCACCATCTAGCGCCGCCGTGGTCCAGCGCCTCTGCAAAGATGGAGGCTGCAACTTCCCTACCCTAAATTAAGCTGCAGCCTAAATTAAGCTGCAGCCACCATCTTTGCAAAGGGCAACCAGTGTCCCTTACTGCAGGCCATGGCTATGGAGGCACGGCGGTGGTGATTACGGTGTGTTTGTGTGTGTTTTTTTTCCAGGCAGCCTGCGGCTGTTCCCCACCCCCCCAAACTGATTCATGCTTCATTGGTTCATGGGGAGGGGGTACTTCATGATTTGTCAACTTTGATGGATCATGAAGCCGGAAATGGCAATTCGTCCCCATCTGTATTTGTGATGCTTCCCCAGATTATTGGCACTTTGCTGCTTCTGTTTGCAGGGTTCGACAACTGTGCAGTTGTGATTGCCTTTTAAAAAAACCCTGTAACCATCACTTTTTGGAGTTATTTCAGACTTGCTTCCACTGCTTCTTTATGCAAGGGAATTGACTTGCCCTTGATGCCATAATCCCAATTTTTGCTTGAAGTAGCAAGTTAGGAGTTATGTCTGCAGTGGCCCGTCTGCCACAGATCCTCATGAAATAAATCAAAACTGCTTGTTTTGTTGGGCACCAACAAAGAGAAAAGTGTGAGCTACAGCCAAGGGCCTGAAAGCATGTGTTTTGCAATAGTTCCTCCCCACAGTTGCTTGTCAGTTGATATGATTCAGTTGCAGGCCCTTCGTCCTTCCTAGCTTGAACTGTTAATGACAACACTGTTGTTTTTGAACAGGGACTGCACAGTGCCAGCATTCCTGGTATTCTGGCTCTCGATTTGTGTCCTTCTGACACCAACAAAATCCTCACAGGTACGTCAAGGTGTCCTTCCCAGAGTATCTCCTGCCCTGCCTGCTCTATGATAATGTTTGAGCCGTCTTATTTCTCTTATGTTTTCTACTAATGTGATTTGCTTTTAGTTTTATTATTCTTATTATTTAAGTTATTGGTATTTCTGTTCTATATTATTAATTTGTGAACCATCCAGAATAGTGCTTTGCACTAATGGGGCAGTATAGAAATCTATGAAATAAATAATTTGTCTGTCTCCCTACCTATTTCTGTGTCAGAAAGATGTCAGCCATAGGAGCCTTCTGTCCATACAAAAGGAGTTTCTTCTCTTTGTTTGGTATTTTAAAATGTCAGTAATTTGGGATGTTGAACTTGTTTCTGAAGTCTTGGTTCCATAGTGTTACTTTGTCTGCATAGTGGTAAACCAGACATTGCTAACAGACAGCAAATCCTTCAAGAGTATAGCAGGGAGGAGTCTCTTTCACTAGGCTTTTACGATTTTGATTTCTGAGTTATACTCCTGTTTTGCAGGTGGTGCTGATAAAAATGTTGTTGTTTTTGACAAGAGCTCAGAGCAGATCTTGGCGACTCTGAAAGGACATACCAAGAAGGTCACCAATGTAGTTTTCCACCCATCCCAGGTTAGAACTCTGATTTCCTGTCTGTACTTCATCTGCCTGAGAGCATGACTGATTGTTTGTCATCTTGCTGAAGTGACTGTGTGATCTTGCCTGACATCCCCTCACAAATATATTGTGCGTGACTGCTACTAGCATCTGAGCTGATGACTTGGGATGTGTCTCCTGTTTCTGAACTAAAGAGACAAAAACCCTGCCTTAGTCTAATTCTGAGGCTGCTGTTCCTTTTCTTCTTCAGGAATTAGTGTTCTCAGCTTCTCCAGATGCCACTATTCGGATCTGGTCAGTCCCCAGTGCTTCATGTGTGCAAGTTGTGCGTGCTCACGAGAGTGCTGTGACAGGGCTGAGCCTCCATGCCACAGGAGATTACCTGCTGAGCTCTTCTGATGACCAGGTGAGACTGAAACGTGAAAGATAAAACAGTAGAGAAACAGTCTGGCGTAATATAAAACTGTTTTAAAATTCAGTTTACAAAATATCTCAGGATAACCTCCTCTCCCTCAAGACATCAGTATAAAACAATTAAAAAAAAGAAAATCAGTCAAACATTTCTGGAACGGATTTTTTTTAAAGTAAGGAAACAAAATCAATTCTCCACCCCAAACAAATGTAACCCTTAGTCTTTCTTTTTCAGTACTGGGCTTTCTCTGATATCCAATCTGGCCGTGTTCTCACCAAGGTCACAGATGAAACTTCTGGCTGTGGTAAGTATTCTGAGCTTTATCATAATTCCATGAGCCATGTTTGAGAACATTGCACAGTGTCCAGGGGTCACTGTGTCAGTGTTTCATGAAAAGGGGAAGGCTGGTTGGAGACTTCCCATCCTTTTGCCCTTGCAGCTTTGCGGTGGTGAATCCATTGTTGTCTCTTTCTGCAGCTCTCACTTGTGCTCAATTCCATCCTGATGGGCTCATTTTTGGGACGGGAACGATGGATTCTCAAATTAAGATCTGGGACTTAAAGGTAAAAACAGATTTCAGGCGTCAATCTTCTTAATCATCTCCCTCGCTAGACTGGCTATAACAATTATGGGCAGTGAGTATGAAGTGTCTGAAATATTTCTACATATCATACAAGTGAAAAATCTTACTATTATCTCAGTGAGAAATTAGACAGAATCTGACCTGCACAGTTATATGAATGAGGAAGGCAGAAGAACTACTGCCTGTGTGCTTTGTAGATCTTCTGCTCGAATGATGCAAGAGCCTAGTATGACTAGGATGATTTTGCCTTCAAAGTGATACACATGATTCTTTATGTTGATATTGGATCCCCAGGATACATGGCACGATGACCTACACTTCCTATTTTTTATTGTCAGTTGCAGTCTTGGTGTGAGTGGGTACAGTCACATTACATACTGTCAGCTAGAGGTGCTCAGACTGTTGTTAAGAGAAATTGGAATTCTGTTTGACTCCATCCACTTTTGAGAGGGGGAAAAAGAGGGAAGGCAAGGCAGTGCCACAGTTTCCTTCTAAGCTTGAAAGAGAAATGAGCCGCTGGCAGAAATTAATTGCATGGCCCGTTTCTTTTCAGGATTCACAATGGCAAGTTCTTGTGCATCAAAAGATGCTTCCAAAATATTTTGGCTGACATTGCAGGCTGTGTCAGCCAAAACTCTTTTGAAGGACTTTGTTGAAACTTTTCTTTTTCATCCACTTAAAACCGCTTGGATCCAGTGTCTGAAGTTCCCTATATAATTATCTATCTGCCTGAATATGACTATCCTGCTAAGATGGCAAGTAACTTTTGATAAGGTGGGGGAAAAACAAAAAAAGATGACCTCAATATTCTACTTAAGAATAGTATTTGAGAAAGAATGAGCTCTAGTTTTTGTTCACTGTGGGAGGCGGTGCACAAGCTCTGCATCTTTTGGGTAGAGGTGTTGTTTTCTATCTAGAATGGCTTAATGTGCTTCTAACAATCCTATCTGGCTTGCCCTTTTCAGGAACGGACCAATGTAGCAAACTTCCCAGGACACTCGGGTCCCATTACTAGCATTGCCTTTTCTGAGAATGGTTACTATCTGGCCACAGCTGCTGATGACTCCTCTGTGAAACTTTGGGATTTGCGAAAGCTGAAGAATTTTAAGACACTGCAGCTGGACAACAACTTTGAGGTTTGTGCAGCCTTTCTTGCTGTCTTCCTGCCCCATCTTTATTTTGCACATCGCAGTCAGACTCTCTACATGTTCTTGGGTTCTTCTCCTGCTTTGAACCCTTATGGGCCCAATATGTACCCTTCTGGTATCTGGCAGAGGGGTCTGTAACCACCTCTAGATTGAGATGCCTCATTTGGAATGGGGGGGTTTGTTGGTGTAGCTGCCCCAAATCAGTGACCTGTGTGTGCTTCTGAACTCAAGGTGGCTAACTCAAAAGGCTTTTCTTTTTAGGTGAAATCTCTCATATTTGACCAGAGCGGCACTTACTTGGCCCTGGGTGGCACTGATGTCCAAGTGTACATCTGCAAGCAGTGGACGGAAGTGCTGCACTTTACAGGTGAGAGGATAGTGGCCTTTGTAGAGTTCTTGAGCAGTTCCATGTTCACACTTCCATTGGTGATTAGCAGTCTGTAGTGGTTTGGAGGCTGTTCGTTCCCTGACTGTCTGATCTCTTTCCTACAGAGCACAGCGGCCTGACAACAGGAGTAGCTTTTGGTCATCATGCTAAGTTCCTTGCATCAACAGGCATGGACAGAAGCCTGAAATTCTACAGTCTGTAGCCTCTCTTTCCAGAATGCAAAGGGAGTAAAGCCTATTCTGCGCTGTAGTATTAAGATGTTTGGGCAATTGTGACGCATATGGAGAAGTGGGGGGGGGAGGTTGGGTGGGAAGTAGGGTGCATCATAGCTTTTAATCTCAATTCAGGCTGTCTGTAGAATGTCAAGTTCAGCCCTGTACTAAATTAATTTGTTTTTCCTCTTCCATATTTGTCCTTTTCCAGCTTGTCTGTGCTGTGATTGTAACAATATTGAGCTGGACCCATCCAGGGTTGTCCATCTAATGAGGTGGTTGCAAGGATGAGGATGAAGAAAGGGATGGGGAGATGTGCAGGTTTTTTGTATGCAGCTCTCTAGTTTCATTAAAAAAGAATTATTCAACTAAATTTGTGTGGTGTCGGGTAGTAAATCTGTCTATCTGAAATGTTTCTTTGCCCTTCCATTTGACAAAACTCCCCATATATCTTTCATGTGTGTCTTGCATGCTTAAAAGTAAGAGTGCTTCTGATTCAGAATTCATTTGGAAAACAAAAGGAAGCAAGGCTATTTGTTAGTTTCCAAACTGATCTTGCATAAATCAAGGAAGGTCCGGAGCAGCAGTCCAATCGAACTGTGGCTCTGGGAAACACTGAATATAGCTTCAGAGATTTAAAAAAAAAACCAGAAGGAAAACCACTTGCTGCCAGTTAGTCTCACTGAGAAAACAAAAGAGTACTTTGATGGAACTAGAAAGCTCAAAGAAAAGGAGATTGATGGCTTACACATCAGTCACAAAATGGAGCATTCGTGGAATCTTCAATCCTAGAGCCCGTGGGAGGGCTCAGATTGACCAGATAGATTCCTCTACCCATAGAAGGAGCAGCCATTTCTTTTCTTGGCAGGGCAAGGGAAGAGTGTTAAACTGTTTTAAGTGACTGCTGTATGTATCACTTTTGTTTTCAGTAGGGTGAGTATGCATTGAGATTTATTTTCTTGTTTTCTTTTAAGCAGCTGTAGATCGGATTTTGCATTACATTTTAGAATCCCATCCGTTGAGTGCCTGTATGTGAATGTGACATGAATGTCTTGAGTCCCTCTATGCCCTGCCTTCTGGCTTTGGCATTGATGCCAATCCAGCCACACCAAATTAAGCAACTGTCAGAGACGTAAAACTTCAGTGGAGAAAGAAACATTGGGAGGAAGATGTCATGCACCTGTATGGAAGTACCAAATCCCAGCAGGACTGGAAAAACGGTATTGGTGGTAGGAAAAGTTGTACAATTTTTACTGAGATGAAAGTCTCATTTTATTTAGTGGCCATTGTTTTTAGAACAGGTGTGTGAACTGGAGAATAAAAGCGCAGAGAAGAGAGTGAGCCGTCCCTAACACGTCTATAGAGGAGGGTAGAGATAGAGAAGTAGAGAAAGTTAAAGAAGAAGTGAAAGGGATGAAGATGGTTGAAAAGGGGGGTGAGTTAGAGAAGCAAAGGAAGGGAGTAGATGTGTTCTTCTTGATGGAGGAAGGGGACAAGTCGGGAGAGACTAGGAAGGTGGTTGTTTTAGAAGATGAGTGGCAGGAGGAGGAAGGAGGGCTGCGAGTATTCAGAATACCGCAAAAGAAGGAGACAAGGGATGGAAGGTTTGAGAACTCAGAAAAAGAGAAAAGAGGGTGACATAAAGATACCCATATAAGGTTTAGGACCAGAAGAATGGACTGTATTGGTGTATCCTCAAGGCCGAGGTCCTTGGAGGAAGGTGGTCCGGCCGGGACCTCTTCAGCTGAATCAGAAGCCACCTGAGGGAGACTGGTCTCGTCACTCCTGTTGTGGGACTATATGTGCGGTGAGGAGTGGATGTTTGTGAAACCTGACCGATCAGGAGCGATTCGGACCCTCTCCCCATCGAGGAAAGAAAGCTACCAAGGAAGTTTACCCTTGTTATGGACAGATTTTCCTGTAGACCTTAAGTTACATTGACCCTACAGAAATTATTGTTGAGAAACCTAAGAACCTTGTTAATAGAGTTTGTTGTTAAAGAAATGTCTCCTCTGTCCTTTCCCGCCAAAACTGAGGAATTGTCAGATACTGTCAATGAACCCTATCACAATGGTGCCCAAAGTGGGGCAGTTCCAAAGGTGGGAGTTTCAGAGGATGTGAAATTACGTCGAACTATTGAAAGACAAGAAAGACTGATAGATATGCTGGCTGATCAACAGAGGTTGCTGATGGGATAAATATTAAAGAATAAGGAAGATAAAAGTTCCAAATTGTTAGGACAGACATAGAATCCTTGGGTAGCAGGACCAGCTCCTATACACGTACCGAAAATGGGACCTGAAGATGACCCTGAGGCTAATTTGCATACATTTGAAAGGGTGGTGACCGTGGCTGGATGGCCACAGGAACAATGGACACTAATACTTCTTGTTTATCTGGAGTCTTACAGGAGGTGGTGGACGCACTGTCCCCAAAAGAGGCAATGCAATATGAAAAAGTAAAGTCTACAATTCTACAAACACTCAATCTAATGAAAGAAGCTTATCAGAAGAGGTTTCGAGATTTAAGAATGAAACCAGGTGTACATCCCAGATCATTAATGCAGAAGATGAAAGCCAACTTAATTAAATGGCTAATACCAGAAGAGAAAACAAAAGATCAGTTCCTAGATTTGATCGTAATGGAACAGTTAGTAACTACACTGAGAGGGGGGGGTAATATGCATAGCTGAGTTCAATGTAACCATCCAAAGTATTTGGAAGAAGCAGTCCATCTAGTGGAGAACTTTTGTATTGCCGAAGAAAATAACGGGTAACTCCGCCTTTGTTCAAGAATGAAACGGAGAGAGAAAATTGCGACTGGCGGTTTTACAGAAGTCTTACCACGCAGGCCTGTAATGGGAAGTTTACCCTTGTTATGGACAGATTTTCCTGTAGACCTTAGTCATGTTGACCCTACAAAAGTTATTGTTAAGAAATCTAAGAATCTTGTTGTAGTGTTCACCCTTATTATATTAAGTAGTTATGAATATTCATGATGCAGGCTAATGTTGCTGAGAGGTGGAGCTGAGAGATATATAAAAGAGGCGAAGTCAGAGAGTGAGTCAGTCTGAGTCTGAGAGGCAGAGAGAGGAGTGGAGAGAGTGTGATATTTGGGAGATCTGAGGCGTGAAAAGTGAATAAGAATTGTACTGTAATAAGAAATAGAAGGTTGAGATTGATGATAATAGAAGTTACCTATGATTAATAATATTTGTAATCAATAAAAACGTTTTATTTAAAAGACAGTGAAGTTTGGGCCTGCATCTTCATCCTTCCATAATTAATGTAGATTTAGTGATCAACTGGTGGCAGTGGGTGAAAAGGAGTAGTAGTTTGCCTTTGTGTGCTCTGTGTTTGGGGAGTCAGGCAGGGGCACAAGGTGTGAACGCCACACTTGTTAATAAAGAGTTTGTTGTTAAAGAAATGTCTCCTCTGTCCTTTCCCGCCAAAACTGAGGAATTGTCAGATACTGTCAATGAACCCTATCACATCCCTTATACACGATTGCAGCTTTAATTACTTTTGTATGGATTCTCTTCTTCATCACTAATCATGACATAAATCGTACAGTACTCTGAACTTTTGCATTCTAAACTCAGTTTTTACCCTTCTTTTTAAGCTGTTGAGGACTCTCAGGATGTGGTACCTATTAAGAACAATCAGTTTGATTCGTGAGTTACATAGGTACACTGCACTCCTGCAGCACTTCAGACAGAAAGCATATCTCTTGGGACAAATATTGACTGGCCAGAAGCTTCTGGTGATCTGGCCATAAGCTAAGTGTAATTCACTTATTTTCAAAGATGAGCTATGTTCTACTTTTTCACTGAACTTGAGAGGTTGATGATGTGACTGAGACCTTGGAACATTTAGTTTATGCTCTCAGTTTATTGTAGTAATTGTAGCATTTTGTATTGCTGTATTTTATATTGTTGATAGTGTGATAAGCCAGAGCTGATGATATTTTACATTTATAGAATTCCTTTATATTACCTAATCCCTAACTATGGAAAGACCTTGAAGGACCATGACAACAGCAGCAACTACAGTACTTAGAAATCATTTCCACAGCCAGAGGGGATTGAAGTGGGTATGGATTTCTAATTCCTAAATAGGACTTAGCCTTTTAAGAATGCCAGCAATTATGCACTTATGTTTACATGTTGTTAACATAGAAATTTGGTTGCCATCCAAAGTTGGAAACTAATATGGTGTTTGTGACTGTGAGGTTGATTAATTCTGTAAGGCTCAAAGCTCCTAGTGCCATTTTGGTTGGCTTTTGGAAGCCATTAATTCATACAAATGCCAATTAAATCTGAAGTAATCAGACAGGACGCTTGCAATTCTCCTGGCCACAATGGCAAGAAAGGATAGCCCATTGCAGTAGTCCTGTTATGAAGTCACTTAAGTACGAGAGGCTTGCTGCAGTCTCCTAAGAAAATTACAGATCTAGGCGGCCAAGGGCTATTATACTGTTCTAAATGACAAAGAGTTCCCTTCAATCTCCTGGAGAATGTATTGAGAAGAACATTCAAAGTGTGGTGCAAAGGAGAGTCAAAGGAGAGTCACCATTCAAAGGAGAGTCACCATGCTAAAACTACACATGCCCAGAGTACTGCACGACATTCAAGTAGTAGATCATATTGCTAAGTAAACAAGTGCTGGAACAGCAGAGTGTTGAAGAGCTAAACAACTCAGTTACTGAGTCAATAACAGACCTGTGCCAACCTTTTTGCTATCGGTAGCCTTTTTTTTTGCCAGCATCTGTTATTTGATGCAGCTGCCTCTCTCTTCCTTAAAAAGATTCAGCCCTGATGGAAAGGAACGGTTTTATATAGAAATCCCTCCAGCCCTTTAACCTCTAGCTTATTAAACAAGATTTAAGATGGACAATTGAAGGATACTTACATACAGCTTCAATGTGGACTGCAAAATTCTTTTGGGAAGGACCAGTAACTGCGTACTGTACTTACCAAAATCATATTTATGTCACCCAGTATCATACTGGCCAATGGGCCAAACCATCAAGAAATGATACATTGTTGTTGTTTAGTAGTTAATTCATGTCCGACTCTTCGTGACCCCATGGACCAGAGCACGCCAGGCCCTCCTGTCTTCCACTGCCTCCCAGAGCTGGGTGAAATTCATGTTGGTAGCTTCGCAGACACTGTCCAACCATCTCGTCCTCTGTCGTCCCCTTCTCCTCTCACCTTCACATTTTCCCAATATCAGGGTCTTTTCCAGGGAGTCTTCTCTTCTCATGAGATGGCCAAAGTATTGGAACCTCAGCTTCAGGATCTGTCCTTCCAGTGAACACACAATGATACATAGGGTGCACAATAATTCTTCAATAATCTCTCTGCTGCAAAAATTTTTTTTAGCAATTTGCTATTTCTCATGAGCAAACCATCAAGGAATGGGTTTTTTTGTTAACGAGCAGAAGTTGTGAAACCAGTAAGTAACTTTGCACCTGGAACACTGAAGCAGCAGTTTGAAATCACTGAGGGGTCATTTCAAAAGTGCAAAATTCAAGCAGAAAAGAGTATGTGTGATCCACATAGTTCCACTCTTTGGTTGTTTTTTCATCTTCTGGGGTTTTAAATATCTCTCTTCCTCTCCAACCCACTTGCCTATTCTTTATGTTCTTATTCTGCCCCCTTCTAAGGGCTGAAGAAGAAACATGTTCAAAATATCTTTCTCTTACATATACACTGACACCAAAGAGTTTTGTCTAGAAAGGGAAGGACCGAGACTTACAGCATCACCATCTTGATTCCTTCTTTTCCCTTTTATGCAACACACTGTATGTGTCATCCAGGCTTGGGTTTCTGGCATAGCAGGACAGTTGCCCTTTCCCTAACTTTTTTAGAGGACAATGACAGAACTGGAGTGCTTCATAAACCAGGAATTCAACAGGTGCAGTTGCTTTCAACTTGGTGGTGGAAAGCAGTACTTGCTAATTTCTGCATGTCACTTTAAAAAGAGCCCTGATGAGAAAAATTTTGTGAATTTCATTGTATGGGTATACTGTGTATATAGTTACAATGATAATAAATAAATAAATAAATAAATAAATAAATAAATAAATAAACTCCAAGAATCAATGCTTACTGTGTGTGAAATGTGAGTTCATTTCTAGCTTGATGTTTATTGGTCCAACATATTGAGTGCTTTGATTATTACACATAGGCAAAGATGGGTGATACCTTTTATTGGGCCACTATAAAAATCATAGATTGCAAGCTTTCATGGGTAAACCCTGCCTCTTTGTGCTCAACACAACTCCTTTATGAATGGTGAAAAAGAATTGTAGACCAAAGTCTAAATATTGATGCTGCAAGCTTGAGAGCATTATGTTTAGAATGTTCGTTCTTGTAAATAAGTTAAACTCAGAGGTTTTCTCTACTTGAAAAGGGTCATTTCACTCTGTTAATCCCTTCTCCAAGCTTGTATTCCTTCCAAATAATAATAAAGTATCTGGGACTAACCCTTCTCTTTCAAGATAAGCAGGTTTAGTTTTCTCAATGTATTTGATTGGTTTTAAATTGGCAGACAGGGCGCCTGTGTCTGCATGGGTGGCGGTGATGTAAAAGTGTTTTCCTTTTAAAAACTCGTAACTTGAAAACCATTTGCCCAAAGATCCCCCTATTTCTCACAGAACAAGAACAGACTGTCTGCTGCACCTGTGCCACATTTGGTAGTGATCTGAGGTCCAGTTTCAAAAAGTTATAATTTTTGTTGGCATCCCCTTTATTTTTACAGTTGCATTATGGGATGCTGAATTGCTCCATTGCACAATATCTATTGCTACACTCTTGTGCACTTCAGTCTTATTTCATCTGGTTGGGAGGAACCTTTCTGGGGTGGCTGTCAATTAACCAAAAGGTAACCAATCATTCCTTCTCTGCCTGATTTTGATGAGAGCTATGCCCCGCCCCACTCTTTTCACTCAATAATCAGTTACTGTTAGAGTCAGGTATATAGTCAGTACAGGTGTACCTCAGTTTATGAAATTAATGCATCCTCCGGGATGTTATGTCACACAGAAATTTCGTAAACCAAAATGTGGATTGCACTAGGAACGGGGGCGGTGCTAGACACCTCCAGGCGCAGTGCATCCTGGGGAAACCCTTTCGTACAGCAGAAAAAAACAAAAAACCAGGGCATTATTTTCTGTGGATGTTGTTTCGTAAACTCAGGTACCATTGCATATGTAGGCAGCAGTTAGAATGTAGTCTGCAGAAGTCTGCTGGAAACAGGCTATGAGTCTGTGGAGCCCTCTTCATGTCACCAGTCATTTGTTGTACAGTATTTTTTGATCTTCTCAGAATTATGAGTAAATGGAACTTTTTATTCTTTCTCTCACCAATATTTCAGTTACTGACAATATAAGTGCCAGTTGATGAGAACCACAAAAGGGGTGGCCTATTCTGGGGAAACCTGAAGCAAAATTCTGCTCTGTCTCTGCACCATCTGCTGTGCAGCTAAACGTGTTTAGCCAAAATTCACCACTGCCATGACTTTCATGGCTACAGTTATTTAACATGTATGCCAAATAAAATATTAATCTTTAAAGTATCACAAGATTCTCGTTTTCTGCTGCAATAAACTAATATGGATATCTGGCTCCAAGAATTTTAATGGTTCATCCTCTGTCAGCCCTCACACTATGGATAGGCTACAGATCTATTCAAAAACTGCACACTAGACATGAAAGAAGAATAACATGTTAATCCCATCATCCTCAGAAAATACAAAAGGATCTGTCCAGACCAGCAATATAGCCATTTATTTTGGATGAGAAACAAAGCAAGTTTCAAAACTGAAAACTTGAGTTTGAACCTCCAGAACTCCTATGTAATTTCTTTTTTTAAAAAAAGATACAGATGGATGAAATACATGTATGCATGCAATAGCTGGCATAATGGAGGAGAGGATCAGGGGAGAGGATGGAAAGGCTGGGTTTGGGAGAACACCTATGTAGGAGGCTGAATCCTTCGCATTACAGTCCACCTAGCTGTATGGGCAGGATAAGGCAAGCTTCCATTCAGTAAAATGCATGAGAGGAATTAATTGTGTCACTGCAATGGTGCAGTTCTGCAATCTCTCCATAAATGCAACAAAATGCAAAAGGGGTGCATACCAAGAAGTTGTCTACTGGAAGCCTTCCGCTCTGTAATATCCAGCCTTTATTTGTGCAGCTGCAGTTGTCCAGGTCTCTGTATTGGTATACTTTAAAACTCCTTGTTGAGAAAACGTTTGACCTCCTGGTCAGGTCTTGAGAAGTCGTTCCTGAACAACAACACCCTCATACTCCTAGTAGAAAGCAACCTTGGAGAGCTAGGGTAGCTGGAGTTTGAGCAGGCCTGTTTTTAGCAAGAGCAGGTGGCTGCTTGGCCCACCTGGTGACATCTCCATCTAAATGCCAGCCTCCCACCAACAACTCCATTCACATCCCTTACGAGGCATGGTTCCAAACTTGCATCTTCCAATCCAAGGCAGTGTGCATCATCCTGATTTTACTGAGGTTTCTCCACTGGTCAATTTCATAATAGAAAAAGTATTCAGAATACTTCTCTGTGTTACATCTGCTCCACTTGTTGCTTTGGTTTGTTTCCTTTTCTCTTCCTGCAGCAGAACGGAGACCCTGGGGATAATTCTATTCTTGAAACATTTACCAAATTAGAGAGAAAACTGTTCCTTTCCACACTTATATATATACGTATATGTTCATTTTAGCAAAAGAGATGCTGGAAAACCCAATCAGTGTTCGGCCATGATGAAACAGGTAGAAAAACACAGACTGTGTTACCAGAGATAAACCCCTTGTATTTAATTACTGGAGGCTGTCTGAATAGAACCAATGTATATGGGAGATCCCTTAAACTTGTTTTGTTGTGTAGTCAAGGAAGCAACTGGTATACGGACGGTGTCAAGAGGCCTTGTGGAAACCACTGAGTTTATCGCTTTATTTATACATTTTCTCCAACAGTATTAGAGCTTTGTTGTCCTGCTTTTCTTCTTTTTCCAGAGCACAAGCACACCAACGAACATGATAATACCCACCAAGGGTAGCACCACTAAAAGCGCCAAGGTCAGATCTTCACTGGAGGTCACACCTGTGCATGAAAGGAGAGGGACAAAGAGACTTGTCACTGCAGTTCACAAAGCAACCACCATGCCAAGCTTGATCTCCCTTCCCAAGGAATCTCGGAATTCACTTTGCTAGGCATCCTGCAGATATCCTGTAAGGGACCAAAGCAGGTGTAGCCACTGTGTAAGATGAGCCTGTATTGTTAAGCCTGACAATATGGTGTTCATCTTTGATATGGGAAGGTTCACTCACCATTCATCTTTGGAAACCTTTTCCAAGAGGAAATACTCGGGATAGAGGCTTGGATTTGAGAAAAATTTAACTAGCCTCAACCCAGGTTTGTATGCCATATGATATGGCAGTATGAGATAAAGCGTGGTGCACAGTCTCATTGCTCAGGCCATCCATATAGAATAATAATAATGATACAGTAAGGTCAATATTCCAAAGATACCAGCATTGAGGCAGTTCATCTTAGAGGGCCCATTTAGGGTTATTTTGAGACAGCAGCAGTTATTTATTTATTTATTTATTTATTTATTTATTTATTTATTTATTTATTTATTTATTTATTTATTTATTCAATTTTTACCCCACCCCACCCCCTAGACAACGTCTATTCAGGGCGGCTTACAAAAATTAAAACACATTAAAGAAATGTCATCAACGTCGGCGCCAGACGAATTTCAGTCGGGAGGGCATTCCATAGTCTGGGGGCAGCAGCTGAGAAGGCCCTTTGTCTACAAGCCATCCCTCTAACCTTCTTGAGGGATGGCTCTTTCAAAAGGGCCCCCTGACTAGATCTTAACTGCCGGGTAGGCTCATTATGTCCTTCCTTTCTCCCAGTAATGAGGACCCTCCCCCCCCCAAGGCAGTTCTCGGCCTAACTAAAATACAGATAGAAGTTTAAACTCAGCGAGTTATCATATGAAACTGACTGGCTCATATTAGAACCGTCAAAGTCAAATTTAGTAACAGTTTCAAAAGAATTTCAAATACTTATCTGAGGAAAAGATATGCAAAGCAGAGCACCCTCAGTGAAGAGTTGTTTCTTCAGAAGACTGCTTGAATAGAAAATGTCTTTTGCCTGGCTTCTGAAACTGTCTTGAATCTTACCAAAGTTTGTAAGTGACTGATTTAATTATTTACCAGAGTCAAGGTCACCATACTAAGGAAGTATCAGACACAGCAGTTTTATTTCTATCTGGCCCCTTTCCTTGTTATAAAAAAATCACTTACCTTTCTCCCATTTGACTTGTTTCTCATTAGACTGCCTGTCTTGAAAGATTAGAGCTCCCGGGGTGCTTACTAGGTCCAAGGAATCGGTTTTGTTTCTTGTCTCTAAAAATCGGCGGCCTCCTGTGAAATAAATCAATAGCAGAAGTCAGGTATGGTGTCTAAATTGGTCACACAAACGTGAGGGCGGGCGATACAGTGGTGCCCTGCAAGACAGTGTTAATTCGTTCCGCAAAAATAGCTGTTTTGTGAAAACATTGTCTTGCGAAATGCGGTTCCCCATTGGAATGCATTGAAATCTGTTTAATGTGTTCCAATGGAGAAAAATCATCATCATTTTGCGAAAATCGCCCATAGAGAAACCATTTTGTGAAGCACGGATCAGATGTCTAAAATCGCTGTCTTGCGAAAAACAGTCCCGAAAAAAACCCATTTTGCGAGTCGCGGACTCAGCTGTCAAAATCATCGTCTTGCGAAAGACGGTCCCGGGGAAAAAAAAGTCTTGCGAAGCACGGACCGAAACATCATCCAACGAAAATCGCCCATGGGAAACACCGTTTTGCAAAGTGCTATAACAATCACAAAAATATCATCTAGCGAATAAACCATTTTGTGAGATAATCGTCTAGTGGGACACCACTGTACGTTTATTAGACCATTAAAAAATCACAGGTACCCAGTGGGCCACTGTGTGTGCCATGCATGGCATGGGGAAGGGGAAGAGAAACATAGAATTACCCATCATATTGTCAAGCAAAACAACAGCCCTAGAGACCCATTTATATCTATATTTCCAGGAACTAGAGGCGTTGTGAAAAGAGGTATCTTTCTACCCCAGCTTGGTTAAGGCCTCATACGAGGAACCAGGCAGTTGCACTGAGTTGTAAGATAGTTCTCTGGAGAGCCCTTTCGGGAAAGGGCATTGTGGCTGGACATATCTACCAGATACTAACTTCTTAAGCTTGTAAATATTTATTTATTTATTTATTTTATGAATTTATTTATTTATTTATAATGAATTATGCTGTTGAACAATGTGTTTGAGAGGCACTTTTGCAAAGGAAATATAGCTTCTCCATACTTATATTGGAGATTGGCCTCTCTCTCTCTCTCTAATTCCTCAGGTCCTGGGCTGTAAGGTCCTGGGCTGCTTTCTAAGTTATCACTAAATTATTTAGTTACGTTTACTAGTAGCAGGCGATAAGAGCCACTTGGATGTGTAGTAGGCATCAGAGGATACTTGCATAGATTTTAAAAGCCCTTTAACAGAATGATAGTGATCAAAGCCATTCCTACTTACTTGTCAGCACTGGCATTTGACAGGTAGCCCTGCAAGGTTCCTGTGGTGAGGGGTGGCAGACAGACACACTGCAGAAGAGGTACACCTGGGGAGGAGATTACCTTACATTAGACAAGCTGCCTTAGCAAAGGACCAAACCCACCTTAGCCTGACAAGATTACTTTTACTGGAATCCTCACAGCTCACTGGATTATTTTCAAAGTAGAGCAAGTGCCCAGAATGTCTTCAGTCAAGGCACAGTTACAAGTGTGTATTCATGAATGCCTTACTAAAAAGCCTATGTCCAGTAGTCTTTCCTTATTCCAGCAGTCAGAAATCATTACATAAGGGATAGAGAATGCTGCTGGACTACAAATCCCTTCAATACGTATCATTGGCTTACAAGTAAAAAGGGCTGACAGATGCAGTCCAAGCGTAGCTGGAGGGCTGCACATTCCCTACCTGTTGCCAGGGGTTAGATCTGTATTCTACCCACTGCGCACAGCTACCAGGAGGTGGTATACATTACACTGGATACATTATATTCACTTTAGCAGGATCTGCAAAAGTGATCCATACAGATGAGACCACAGTGAGACCCATTTTGGCCTATGATACGCAACAAGAAAAACAAGGTCTGAGCCTTCTAGTGAGGTACTTTCTCCTCTGCCATACAGCTTAAATATTTATTAAGGACAAGGTCTTTCCTATAAACCATCAATGCTTTTCCAAGGAAAATAGCTATTAGATTTCTCATGCCATTTGGCAGCACAGAATACTGTATCAGTCCTTACCAAATAACATAGGTGGCAATTTTATTGCTCTAGCTTGAATGCCGTAAATTTCAATTATACATTTACCAGTCCATCAAGCACCACCTGGGGTGTAGCATCCACAAATGTGAATGTAGAAATGATGAAGCGTTGATAGTGGGTAGGAAAAGGCAGCTCAGAAGTAGCAGGGCCCATGGGCACCAGCTGGGTTTGGTAGTTGTCTCCTTCAAAGGGGCACCTGGGAACAAGAGATGCTGTCAATTCAAGAAAAGAACAGAAGCCATCACTCCCAAGCAGACAAGGGGCTTCCCTGTCGCTTAACTCACCCGTCCACAAGGATTGGCCACTGCAACTGCTCAAGGGGGTTTGTGTTTGGAGTAGCCCAGCACTCATGCAGGACCAGAACGAGAGATGGGTCCATTCTCTGCAGGAGCTGAACCTCCACATACACAGGATCCCTCAGCAACTTCACCACTGGATAATCAGTATCCGAATAATAGGATCTGTAACTGGAGTCTGGTGGCGAGAAGCAAAGCAGAAGCATCAGGCAGCACATGGTTCTTCAGAGAAGAGCTTGGAAAAGTGCTGCTTTCTGAGGCAACACCCAAAGCATCCTCAGCTAGCATTTCTAAAGTGAGCTCTACTTCCCAGGCACACAGCACTCTTGGCGCCAGAACGTTGGGAGCACACGTACCTGTAGCAATCCGCAGCTCTAAGCGGAGAGGCCCCACCCGCAAAACTGGAGCTATGGTGGGAAGCGAGAAGACTTCGACCTGAACTGGCAGGAAGTCAGTGGCATTGTAAATGCAGCGGGCATTGAGGCTGTGTATGAAAGAGAGGAGAAAAGAGATGTCCCAGAATATCGCTATAGTCGTTCTCTGTATTTGCAGTAGTAGTATTTATTTTTGCAGCCACTGACCCAGCAAGTATTTGTGCATCTGGTGTGGTCAAGATGACCCTTCTGCTTCTCTGGACAGCTAAGCAGGCTTTTGTTTTGTTTTTGTTTTTTCAATAACTCGGTGCTGACCTGTTATGGCCCATTTCAAAACAGTCTGGACATGATGCATTATTGCAATCCAACTGGTTTTAAGTGTTCATCCAAACAGCAATTTAAGAGTGGACTACTCTTCCTCTACTCCTTTTTAAAAATATATATTCATAGCTTGAGATCCTGCACTAATGCATTTCTGCACACCAAAACCAGATGACAACCAAAAGCAGCAATCCTCTGCTGTGCAGGAGCGGGAAACCTGTGCTGCTGGAGATTATGTTGTTTTCTGCACACTCCTCCCACAATCCCACTTTGATATTTTTATTACGTAATACAACCCACACCAGCCTCATTTGGAGGTCCAAAGCCTGGAATGGTGGGAGCTATTGCCCTCCAGATGTTAGACTACAGTCTCCATCACCCCCAGCCATTGGTTATATGGACCAAGTTTGATGGGATTTATAGACCTACAAATCTATAAGGAACTAATGTCATTGCTGCTGCTATAGCAAGATAGTAGAGTGGGGATCATGTTTATTAGGAAAGACTAACAAGATCAAGTGCCTTTAAGGGAAAGCTGGTCAGCTCCCAGAGCTAGACAACCACCACCAAATACATAGCAAAGCACGACTCACATGAAGGTACTGTCTCGTGTAATAGAGCCATCCGGTCCACTTAAGATATCAATGCCAGAAACCAGCTGGTTTTCATATACCAGTCTGCCACCAGTCACCTAGAAAAATAGGACACCTTTCTTGTTATCTAGCCAACTGGTCATCTGGAAGGAACATTCAGGTGAAGCCGCACCTTCCTAAGCTGTACCTCACCTGGACTGTTGTGCCACACTGTGTGAGGGGGAAGCGGAAGACCAAGAAAGATTCTGTTTTCCTGACTGGGTCACATCCAGCCTGGGCATAGGAGAGTTTCACGCTGTCCAAGATGATAGGGTAATCCAGCATATCTCTGGAGACAACCACAATGAAGTGGCCATCCCTAAGGCATTGAACAGTGACTGCAAAGTACAAACAGAATGCAAACACGTCAAGCTGAAGTATGCCATGAATTTGGGAAGCCATAACTGCTGCATAGCTCAGCAGTACAAGTATCTGGCTGTGGAGCCAGAGGTTGGGAGTTTGATTCCCTATTGTGACTCCTTGACAGGGACAGGCCTTGGTGATCACAGAGTCCCTTCCAGCTCTGCAGTTCTAAGATTATACAGTATTTCTAATATTTCAGCTTCTGCAGAGGACAAAGACAGCCAAGGGATTTTGTTTGTTTGTTGTAAATTAAAAGTAAGTACTTTCTGTTCCTTCAAACTTAATTCCATCAAATCAGGAAAGGAAACTGTCATAAATCTTAAAGGGCCATTTCTCCATTCTCCCACTGGTTAGGAAGTTACACCTGTTCAAAAGCATCATATATATGGATAGGGAAGATATGGATCTGTCTCTCTCTCTCACTCACTCACACACACACAAACTCTTCCCGAAGAAAAATAATACACACACACACACACACACACAAACTCTCCCCAAAGAAAAATAATACGTTACATTTTCTGGAAGAATTTAAGAGCTGTCGTGAATCTTTTAAATAGGTTGCAAAGTCCTCCTGCACCATATACCACTTTAAAAACAATTCTTTAAGACCAGAAGCAAATTTCTGGCAACTTCCATCTGTCCTCTGCTGTCCTCTGAAGATGCCGGCCACAGAGACTGGCGAAACATTAGGAAGAACAACCTTCAGAACACGGCCAAAGAGCCCGAAAAACCCACAACAACCACAACTTCCATCTTTGTTATGTTTAGGTTTTGGTGTCCGTGTAGCTTAGGGAGCAGAAAACTGGACCCAGGTCTGACACAGTGGTAAGCCCTGAGAGAAGCAATAGTTTATTCAAATGAAGGTTCTCAGAATGGACCCTTAATATTACTTTAATTATATTACATCCATATCTTCTAGTGGTTGCACAACATAGAAGCCATCGTGAACCAGCCCAATGCTTTACCATGGCTATCTACACCTTTCTGGATCACTGCCAAGGGCTATTGTTGGTTTGTCTAGCATTTGAGTTCGATTTCCAGCATGTGTGATCTCCAGTACTGAACCAAAGCAACACTAGTGTTTTAGGACAGTTGGGTGGAAAGTCAATGCAGAGGTATGCCACTTCTCAATTAAGTTTAAAAATAAAATAAAATCCAGTTTCCCCCTGCTCCCCACAGAGGAGGCAGGAGGTGACATGGGAGCATGGAGGCAGAAAGGGCTAAATAGGGTCATTTTGAGTTGCGGTGTGGCCTGTTGTCCTAAAACCACCCCATGCTTTCATATGAAAGCAAGGGTCACTCTAAGGGGCATACTACACATCGAAACAACCCTATTTAGTCTGATCCAGCCTGGGATTACGTGACTGTTTAGTCACACCTTGAATTAGACTCTATCTGCTTAAAGCTTGCTGAGGTCTACTTTCCAAGCTGTCCATAGTAGGGGGGGAAAAACGGAGCTACAGGAACGAATGTGGAGAAATGCAAGAAAATAAAGTATTTGTTCAAAGCAGAGTAAGAGCCGCTAATTTCATACAAAAATTATTAGTATTTAAGGTAACACAGATTCTGTTTTTGCAGGAATGTGTTTCTCATATAAAAATATTAAAAATCAATTGTTTTCCATAGCTTTTTGGAAGTTGAGCGGTACCCGAAGGAAAGGAGGAATTTGGAGAGAGCAACAAAAGGAGATAGGTAAGACTGTACTGAGCTGCTTGCTATGCATCTTAGATTTTGCAAAGCTATTTCAAACAATGATAAAAGAAATGATAAAGCACTGTCCACTGGAAGAACAGATCCTGAAGCTGAGGCTCCAATACTTTGGCCACCTCATGAGAAGAGAAGACTCCCTGGAAAAGACCCTGATGTTGGGAAAGAGTGAAGGCAAGAGGAGAAGGGGACAACAAAAAACGAGATGGTTGGACAGTGTCATAGAAGCGACCAACATGGATTTGACACAACCCCGGGAAGCCGTGGAAGATAGGAGGGCCTGGCGTGCTCTGGTCCAGGGGGTCACGAAGAGTTGGACACGACTGAACAACAATAAAGCACTCTTGGAAGGACTAACTCTACATTCACTTGACTTTGGATCATGGTACAGTCTTTTAAACAATTTACTCTCTCAGATATACTCATGTCACCTCTTAGTGGGATTCTGTAGACATATTAATATAGTATTTTCATGCCAACGGGAATGTTTTTGTATGTTTTCATTCCACATTTCCACGTGGATGTTTTCAGTATCATGGAAACTATGATTAGGAAAGTGGTTAGCTACAGTTAAGTCAGAATGCTGCCAGTCTACTTGCTTAGTATGGTCAAAAAGTTACGTATCCTGTTAAAAATTGATCATAACAATGATTGGATGCAGCATGACACATGACAAGTCATCTAAAATCTCTTAGCACTAGAGAGGGAAGTTCACAGCAGGTTGTACCTGTTTGAATTTACAGAAACTTGAAAACTGCTTCATATTCTGGATAGAAAGAACTGGAGCTTCCTTTTAAAAAACCTTCCTATTTGGGAAAAATCGAAATTAATAGATTCATCGCTCAGGTGCAGAGCTTTGAGTGCTAAGCTGCTAGATGTCTGAGTTTGAAGCTCTGTACTCAGTCTTTATTGATGTTGGATTAGAGAGCTGTCCCCTTTTTTTCCCCTGATAGGCTGCTCATCTTTCACAGCTGTATAGAAGTCGGAATGAGAATGGCTCTGCTGCTAAGAATGGCCATCCTTATCTGATTTAGGAAAGGGTGTGTGTGTGTGAATTTCTAGTTCACTTTTGAGTTTGCTGAAATTTTCAAGTTTCTTCCAAGACTGAAAAAAATGTGAGATTTGAGGAAACCGAATGCAGGACAAAGTAAAACGGACAGATTTCCACACTGCTTCTATGGAACTGAAATATTACACTTGAATAGTCTAAAGTGAATACTACATTTACCTGTGTTGCCATAGTAACATGGAATGGCTCTGTCCCTGTCATTGTAACAGCATCCAGTTTGGTGGCAAGCAGCTGGTCCTTGTGCATCTCCACAAGGAATCTTTCCAGAGGAAACACGACACTGCTCCAGTGTTGGAGGGGAACCTAGGAGGCAAGGAAGTCAGTCCAGCAGTCCCAGAGACAGGCAGAGTAAACTGTTATAGTAACTGTTTCTTATGAGGCCATTGATGAATTCTACAGCTTCATATTTAGAAATCTAATGCTTATTCTGTAGGACAAATGAACTAGATGTTTTAGCTGTTGTTAGACCTGCTTTTCTCCTACTGATATGATTACCTGCGACTGTGATAAAATGGCCCCAAAATTAATATCCAATAGGCATTATGATTCACATAACCACGCCTGCATGAACCTGCCGAATGAAAACTTACATGCACTCAACACCATGATATATTCAGTTCTGGATATTTTCTACATTGAAGAGGCTGAAATTGACCATTTCTATGAACAACATCTTCTAGAACTGACACCAAAGAAAGATTTT